CTACTCATTCATGGAGGCAAGTAAAACCAAAAGCCTGAATAGGCTTCCTCGTTCTTTATTAAGGTTAGTGTTGCCTTTACACACACACACACACACACACACACACCACTATCTTGGGTTCTACATCCCATCTTTTTAGGTAAAACTGGCTTCCTGCTTAATTTAAATCGACATGGCATTAAGGGCTAATTAGCGGACTAAACTTTGTGCTATTAGGGAGGCTGCGGCTCAAAGAAACTGCTCTATCGTTACAGGCACCTTCTGACATTGCAGGGTACAGCCCACCTGGGAATAAACGGAGAGCAGGGAGAGATAGCGAAGAGGAAAGATAGGAGGTGTGTTAGGTGGGAGGTGTGAGGGGAGTGTAATCAGACGAGATAATTGATTAAAAGGTTGATTAAGGTTAAAGGGTTTTTAGAATGGGTGTGAGGAAGGAGGGGAGTGTTCAGTAGTACTTAATGCTTTGCAGTGTCTCTGACAGCCAAGGTCGAGATTCTTTGTGAGACTTTGGGTGCTGGAGAAGAAGCGAGAGATGGCCGTTCACGCACACAAATACTGACGTTGCCACGGTTCGGTAGGATTTACACCAGCACTGAGCGTGCGAGTACAGGCTGCAGCAGGTGGCATGACTCAGGTAAGATGTGAAGAAAATGAGAACAATGCAAAACTTCCAACTTTTGACCGACTGTGATGATCTGAAACTTAAACTTGTTCTCACAAAGAAAACAGATCATTTCAATTCAGTTCAATTTTATTTCTACAGCAACAAATCACAACAACAGTCACTTCACGGTGCGTTACATTATAAAGGTAAAGACCCTACAATACATCGTTTTATCTCGCTGTCACTCACTCGTGTGTGAAAGAGTGAATCTCGAGAAGGCAGAAAGCTACAATCTGCTGGTGCACAGCCACTCGGTGAGTGTTTTCTTGGGGCTGTGCTTTTTCAAAACAGAAACTTTATGACAGCCTCATGTGATACGTTTAAGGGACATCACAGCCCAGGACACACCTGTAGCTTCAACATCTACAAAGAAAGCCATGTGGACAGTTACAGCTAGTCTTCACGTGAAGCTTCGGCTCAATCTTCAAATGAAAATACTTCCCCGAAATATGATAAGACATTTTTAACAGCACTCTGAATGCCTTTGTGTTGCTGGGTTAAATTGTTCTGTGCATTATAAATGCAAATATCACATGAAAGCAGTGTGTAAAATGATCTGGCTAGACTTATTATAACAGTTTGTAAGACTCCTTTGTATTGTCGACATTGACACCAAACTGCATGTTAATTTTTCTTACGTATAACTGTTAAGTGGACTGGAGCTTTCTGTTCTGGCACTGAGGCTTTGGTCTAAACGACTGCATTTAAATGTATGGAAATCTCAAAGAACCTTAACATGTGCTCACTGTTGAGTGGGTGAGAGCATAAGCCTAAAATGTTAATGAAAATATTCAGGCAGCGACGACTAAGAGGTTTAAGAGCACTCTGTTATTTTGCCGTGCTGCAGATCTGACAGTCGCTGAGAACCCGGTAAGTGCTGTTGTATTCCTCCAGAGACAGGATGTCACATCTGCATGCAGACACACACAAGCACACAGAGTTGCATTTCTCCAAAACTGCAATCAGATGTCACCGAAAGCTGTCGACGGCAGCAGAGACAAACGTGACATGGCAGTCCGTCTGTAGAGCAAGTCCGCTGTCATTTCTCGTTTGCTCTCGGTCGTTTTGTTAGCTCACGCGCAGTTGTCATTACACTGCAATTACGGCGGGGGTGGCGGGACAGAGGGGGCGCGCGGCACTTTTAGCTGCCAAGGTTCGCTGTCAGGGAGCGTTAGCTGTAATTGCCAGTGAAGACGGTGAAAACGAGAGGCTGTCTCCCCTCTAGCTCTCAACCTCGTCTGCCTATTAAACTATTCACACTCTACTCTCTCTGATGTTTCCACAGGAGGGACGGGGAGATTATGCCATTTATGCCACACCATTATGTCATGTTGGAGATCCTGGGAAATTAGTAGGAGGAATGGCAACCTGTTAGTGCTCTAAGGCACTGTTAAAACAAGGATACCTCACAAGTAGTAAAGTGGGGAAACTGTAAAAACACACACAGAGTCAATGAGCTTCTTTCCAGCGTCCTGTCCATTATGCTCTCCTACTCGCCCAAACATACAGCAAAAGCCATGAGTTGATAAACAGAGTACGCCTGTCTCAACTCCTCTTCTGCTTACTACTCCTCCAAACCCTTAAAGCGAGTATTTAGGAGTTTTTAGCATATTTGTTGGACCAAAATCACCAAGATATCAACACTGAGATCTAATCAGATTCTGTCTTATTATGTTTACAGGCACTTGGCAGCAGTGTCACCATGTTCTTTATAAAGTAAATAACAGGACTAAATATATTTAATAATTACTGAGCAAAAGGCCGAGAATGGATTTGCAAGCAATTAACAAACTAAACCAATTAATTCATCTTTGAAGTCATTTTTAGCTAAGTCTACATTGTGTTACTTGTTTACATCTCAGCTAAATTAGTATTGTTGGGTTTTCCACTCACTGATGCACACCACATGAGTGAAAACATGACATCTGAAGACTTTAAAGTTGTGTTCTTCTGAGATGGGCATCGTCCTCCATTTATACATATTTACTAGGGGTGCAACGATACACAAAATTCACGGTTTGGTTCGATACTTTGGTGT